TGTCAAGTTGGCCCCTGGTGGAGGCTGCTCAAGCTTATCCCATCTTCGGTTTGGGTGATGTCCCCCTCTTTGTCTTGATGTTTCCCCACTACTCTTATCACGAATTCACCCAACGACTGCTTCCGGATCGGCTGGTGGGGGTCACGAAGCATAAACCTGATCGGACAAGAACGGGAAGCGCCGTTTTAGTCCAATGGGCTGAGTGGGGGTAGAAGAAGAAAAGGAAGGCGAGGGCGACGAGGAGGCTGTGACGAGGACGACGCGGAGAACGTGAGGATAGCGAGGAGGAGCATGAGGACAACGATGAGGAAGAGAAACGCCAGATGACGACGACGACGACGACGACGGAAGACAGTAAGAGGCAATTGGAGAAGGACGTTGAATGATAAGGAGAGGGTCCTGGTGACCCTATCGGGCTACCCTGGGGACTCCTGGCGCCGCGCGGGGTTGTCTTGGGGCCTGTTGGGGGTTTCGTGGGGGCCTCTTGGGTCCTCTTGTGGGCTTCTGGGGTTTTCTTGGGCGGTCTGGGCGCGAAATCACCCAGCAACTGCTTCCGTATCGGCTGGTGGGGATACTTTTTGATCGCGCCCGTAGCGACACATCGCTCGGCGTCAAGTCAACGCGCAGCTAACGAGCAGCGGGCTAACTTAGGCCCTAAGCGACAGGAGACGGCATGCTGGTGAGGATACACGACAAATGACAAGTCCACCACCGCGCTTGCGCGATGGAGTCTTCGAAGCGTGTCTGTTGTCTGGTCAAAGTTCCCCTGGTTTGGCTCTCTGGCGCTCTGTCCCGCCTCCAGACGACTCCAGGACATCCAAAGACTGGCTCCCAAAACCGGCAGCAAGACGCACCAATAACACATCAAAACGGCTCCAAGATCTCCGCAGGGTGTCTGGAAAGGCCCCCAGAAGTCGCCAAGGGACGCTCAAAACGGCCTCCACCCAGACCCTCTGACGCAAGTGCTACAAAAGCGTATGAGGCATGCTGTTAGCTTCCGATGCTCTTCGATCTCAGATCCGACTCGGGAAAGCCTCAGAGAGCCTCAGAAAGCCCCCGAGACAGCCCCCGAAACTGCCCCGAGGGAGCCACCAGACGGCCCCGAGACAGCCCAAGAGGGCCCCAGGACGGCCCCAAGACCCGCCCAAGCTTCGGTGGCAACTTATGGGAGTCTCCCATACCATCTTGTAGGCTTTTGCGAAGCGACGCTAATCGACGCTAGTCGACGCCAATCGACGCTGAATCGACACAAGCCGACGCTGCATCGGCGCTATCCCAATGACTCCTGAACGCTAATCGACGCTAGTCGACGCCAAAGACGAAAATACGAGCGTATACCAGGCTCCCATGATTGCTGCAGGGAGGCTGGAAACAGTGAAGTTGGAAAGTCAGTGAACGCCCGAAACAGCAGGGATGCGGTCGCCAGGGCTGGAGAAAACAAAGTTGAGCAGGGACCGACCGTCCCGACATTCCTATAGGCCTACCGCGAAATGTCCTTAGAACCCAACAGTGTTCTAAGAACAAAAACAAGTTTCTCAGACCATAAGCCCGACGTGTTAAAACAAGACAACCCCGGCCAGACACGTTCTGAGAACACTTCCTGGAAACCACAAAAGGCTCTTAGAACACTGCTTGGTAGGCCTATGGGCACGCCAGGACGCTCCGTCGCTGCTTGACCAAGGGAAGCTGGCCAGGGCTGGAAAGAGTGGACGGGCTGGCCCCAGCCACTTTTTCCAGCTTCCGCTTCCACGTGCCGAGCCGAGCGTCCCTTGGGCCGGGCAAAAGGGGGGGACAGCAAAGGGGGGATTTGAGAATCAGCTCACGTAGCTGATTTTCCCGGCGCCTCCCGGCGCCGGAGGCGGCCATGTATCGAGGAATGGGCCCGGCGGCGGGGCCGAAACCAGCTGCATGCAGCAGATCTCGTAACCCCCCTCTCTCAATCCCCCCCTTTTGCCCAGTCCGATCCATCTCCTCCTCCTGCTGCTGCTCCTCCTCCTGCTCCTCCTCCTGCTCCCCCTCCTCCTCCTCCTCCTCCTCCTCCTCCTCCTCCTCCTCCTCCTCCTCCTCCTCCCCTCCTCCTCCTCCTCCTCCCCTCCTCCTCCTCCTCCTCCTCCTCCTCCTCCTCCTCCCCTCCTCCTCCCCCTCCCCCTCCTCGCTCGGCCCGAAGCCCCGAGAGGCACCGAGCCCGAGCCTGCCCGGGAGAGCCCGGCCAGCGGAGCCGCGGCGCTCCCGACAGCGGCCCCCGAGAGTTACGTCGGGCCTGTCCCTCCTACAGGGGGGATGCTCAAAGAGTAGTCCAACAAATAACCTGGGGACTACTTTTTGAATACTTCTTTTTATCGTTCTGGATTTTTCCCGTATTTATAACTTTTCAAAGAAAATCCCCCTGTATGGGGGACAAGCCCGACTTACCCCCGAGAGCCGCGGGGCACGAGAGGGGGGGGCGAGGGGCCGCAGGAGCGGGTCCCCGGACAGGGGGCCCGCACGGGGCCCCCCCGACCTGCAGCTTTCTGGAGTCCCGCACCGGTGCGGCGACAGACCGCGCGGTGACCTCGAGATACCCCGAGCTCAAAGGGCCCTGGAAACGACAAGGCCGTTTTTTTACCGGTTCCGTTTTACCGGTTCCGTTTTGCTGTTTTTGTTGCCGGTTCCGACGCCGTTTTTTTACTGGTTCCGTCGCCGTTTTTTGACCGGTTCCGGCTCCGGTTCCAATCCTGGAGCCGTTTTTTTGCCGTTTCCTGTCGCCTTTTTTTGCCGTTTCCGTTTTCAAGAGATATTTTTTTGGAAACGGTGAAAAAACGGCCCTGCCGTTTCCGGGGCCCAAAAAGCCCCCGAGGCCCCACCGCACGGTCTTGGGAACCCGGAGGCCTCCGTCACCCAAGGCATCCTCGGAAAACGACCCGAGTCCCAGAACTGCGCGGCGGCCTCGGATCCCCACCGACGCACCGCACGGTGTGGTCACCCACCCCGTTTGGGGACCCCCGAAAGTTTCAAGCATGAAATCCAAATATGGAAATGATAGGAAAACATCTCTTTTTGAGCACACAAGAAGGAGCGAGGGAGCTGAACAGACTTGTAGTGCCGTTAAATTTCGTAGAGGTGGGCATTATTTTGCTGCAGCAGCACAATAATGATTACTGCCACCGCGGCCCCAGCAGATGCCCGGCAAGGCGCGCCTCTCCCCAGCACTCCGACGATCATTTTTTTCACACCGTCGACCCCAAGAGGTCTGGACCCGTGAAGGAAGGACTCAGGATCCAAACGCGAAGGTCTGATGTGTGCTCCTTGCTCGGTTCTGAAGGAGCTACCTGCAGTCACCGCAGTCCGGTGCTGCAGCGGGCCTGGGGCGCGGTGCGAGCCACGAGCACCTCGAGCCCACCTGGCTATACGACGATTAGCAAGCTGAAGCGCAACGCCTGAGGGGACGGCCGTCGGGGCTGATGTCTGATCCCGGGCCGTTTCCTGACGGTGCGGAGGCCCAGAAACGGCCGCGAGCCTCCTCCCGCCTTGACTGTTTCACGACGAACGGAGGTGGGACCTGACCCCCCCCGTGCACTCCCCCCCGATCTGCACTCCCCCCGAGCACTCCCCCCCCCTTGAACGCCCCCCGTGCACCGGCCCCTCCCCTGCCCGTGCACCACCCCCGTGCACTGCCCCTCTGATCTGCACTCCCCCCCGTGACCCACCCCCCCACGCACTCCCCCCCTGCACTGCACTCTCCCCGAGCACTCCCCCCCCCCTCCCCTTTTGAACTCCCCCCGTGCACCGTCCCCCCCCTGAACTCCCCCCCTGTGCCCCCCCTCCCCCGCGCACTCCTGATCTGCTCTCCCCCCGTGACCTTCCCCGTGCACTCCCCCCCCGCCCCTCCACCCCCCGTGCACTCCCCCCCCCAGATCTGCCGCTCGCCAAGTCCTCTGGCCGTGCACCTCCTCGCCCCGGCCCGCCGCGGCGGAAGCGCCGCCACGGGGCAGGGAGAGGCCTAGCTACTGGCTGCCGTGGGCGTTGCTCAGTGGGGGGGGTCGATAACCGCACAGGTTATGTGGCCGCCATATTACTTAAGGACCACATCTCAGAAATCAAGTTCGAGCACCCAGGAAAGTGTCGAAGCAATACCGAACGAGCATCGCCGCCCAGGGCCCGACGCGCGAAAACCCTCCAGTGTCGGTATTTTCCTGATGCTCGAAATTCTTTCCGGTAATCGAGGCCAGAAGTAGGCTGGAACATCATAACGCAGAGGGTCTTTGATACAGGCCCTCTTCATGACAGAAACTGATCATTTCTTGCGCGGGCCTTTCTCGACGGATCGGGACCGGAAGCGATACTGGGAACATGCTTCCCCCCCCGCGGCGGCCACTGCTCAGAACGTGCCCCTTGCATGCCCCGCTGGGTCCCCGGGAGGTTCCTTCACAGTGCGGGCGCGGCCGCCAGGCACCCTCGCAAGGACCCCCCCGCCCTGAAGGCCCGTGCGCGAAGTGCACCGGAGGGGAAACCCAAAGCACTCTAAACGTAGCAGCACCTTCAACAACGGCTGCGGAAGGTCACTGCGCAGCGCGCGGAGCAAAGAAATCCAGGATACTGCGAGCATATATGGCTTCTTGATGCGCGCCCCCACTGCGGGGCAATTCCTTTCCTTTTCCTCCTACTCCTCCTCCTCCTCCTCCTCCTCCTCCTCCTCCTCCTCTTCCTCCTCCTCCGCCTCCTTCGCCTCCTCCTCCTCCTCCTCCTTCCTCCTCCTCCTCCTCCTCCTTCCTCCTTCTCCTCCGCCTCCTCCTCCTCCTCCTCCTCCTCCTCCTCTTTCCTCCTCCTCCTCCTCCTCCTCCTCCTCCTCCTCCTCCTCGGGCACGAGCTGTGCACCCCTGCACGCATCTGGGGAAATCAAAAGGTACAGATACCGCGACTCCCCGGACCTCTGCCGAGGTGCGTTCTGACCCGGATCTCGAGGCGACTCCAGCGGTGGCGACGAGGGCCTCCCAGGAGGCCCCCCGAAGGGGGAAAACGGG